TTGTAACTTGGATGGAGAGTTGTCTCATTTGTACTTACACCACATCTTTTGTCTAGTATACATCAATTAATTTGTAACATATAAATTAAAGGGATGTTTACCTTATAGAACTATGTCTTCACTGTTGTGGACCTCCTCCATGTTGTTCTACCTGTTTGCGTAAGTAGAGATGTCCTCAGCCTAATACTTTGTATATAATGTGTGCGATAAGTGAATTGTAAGTTTCGTTGATGAGTATGTCGTATTCGTCAAAACCAGTTATAATAATATTCATAATAGTTGTAGTATCTTTAGGAATAATATGATTTATCAAATGACTGTAATTGTTTTGTTTTTTTTTTTTCATTGGATAAAAACATAGGAGATCCTCTTTGATAACACATTATATTCACGACGGGTTAATATGAGATTCGGAACACCTAAATATAGATTTTCGGAGGCAAAATCAATGACGTAGGATTATGACGTAATGCACATTTCTCTTCTTGTTTTCTGTGTATTTCTCTGGTAAACTTTATTGAATATTTCAACTAATGAAAAATAGCAAATGCAAAAGAAGATGATATATTTAGTATAAAAACAGGGAGCAGTTTTAAATGTATCTTGAGCAAGTACAAGAAATAATTTTTTTTTAGATGTGGTTACCTAATCTCAACGCATCGCATATTTAATAATTTTTGATAAATTCTCGAAGCAAATACTATACTTATGTGATTATCATAATATTGATGTCCTCATCATCGAGAAAACGAATTATTTACAATACCCATGTGCACGTAAACATGATTCTTGACCCGTGCACTTTTGTCCAATTTTGTAAGGTAAAGAAATATACAAAATTCAAAAACATGAAACACCTAAAAGCAAAAAAGGAAACAAATAATCGTAATTTGACGGTTTATAAAACTAGCTGGTAAATTTGTAAGCATATTTGGTCTATTACGATTATTTATTTTCTTTTACTACCAAAATGCATTTTTCAACTTATGTCGTCTGATTAAAGTATACTTTTACGGATTATAAACAGCTAGGGAAAACGTACTTTTTATCTGCTGTAGCATTCACAAAGCCTGGGTTTTGTCCACGTGTACCACCGGGTACCGTCGGTACTTCCGTTGAAGAATGTAGTCGTGACGACGGTTGTCAGGGTGATAAAAAATGTTGCTCAAACGGTTGTGGACATGTCTGTTCCGTTCCAACCGGCGGAATAAAGCCCCAACCAGGTAATTATTTTATATGCTTAAGCAATGCGCTATTGAAAGACATTAAAACTAGAAAAATAATCATTTCCAAACAATGCACCACTGGTTGGGCTATGTTCATATATTTTTAAAAAGCTGATATGAAACTTGATACATTTAAATCCTGATAGTAGTTTTAAAGTGGAATTGAAGACAGACATTATTGACTTCATTGGTTAGTGCTTTCATAAAAACAGGGAAACAACAATATGCATTATCTAAATTTAGCGCATTTATTTTCGAATGTTGCATTAAGGGAAACTTTGTTTCAATATAAAAAAAAGCGATGTTGTGAGTTCAAATAAGTGGATACTTATGCTTTCTAAAGTGTTTTTGATATTTTGCAAGACCACTTTTTAATTCTGGTAAACATCATTTGACTTGCTATATATTAATAAAAAGAAGTTTTACTGTATAGAACCAGAACGATGTTGTAGACCTCCTCCATGTTGTAATAACTGTTTAGATAAGTAAAGATGTACTCAGCCTCATATTTTGTATATAATGTGTGCGATAAGTGCATTGTCAATTTCGTCAATGAATATGTCGTATTCGTCAAAACAACATTCACTTGATAAAACTCATTGATGTTACCAGGCTTATTTTTGTCTAAATATCTTTTATTTATGATGAATTTATTTGCCAAAAAAACATTGTAATTATATAATATTACTTGTCATGAATAATATTTCAATTCACATAGGAAATAATCAAGCCAATAGACCAAACAGTAAACACACTTGACTATACCGAATATACAGAATTCATACCGCAAATGATAAGACATAACACAATATCCAATCACACTTAAAAAAGAAACATCCTAAATATAAACATAAATGTTGGATGTATAAATACTGAGACATATCTAATAGTAATGCAAATTCACACTCGGCACAACAATCATATTTGGGAATATGTCAAGTTCGATATTTAGCAGACCAGACGATATAGACAATTGTCTACCATATTTATCTTGGTGTTTTCTCTATTGTTATTGTAAGTTCAAAATACTGTCTATTACTTCAATACAAAACTTATCCAATACAAATAAACTCATCATAAATATCAGGATTGAAATTTTGTAATTGCGACTGACGCGCGTTTCGTCTACAAAAGACTCATATTGATGTATATACTTGCCTATATATGTTTAAATTAGGTATTATTATTATACTTATCTTTGCCTGTAGAAATAAGTGACGACAATAGTTTTGTTATGGATAAATTATCTCAACAAATCAGTTACTAGTATTTCGTGTTCTTATTTATATGAACGAATGTCAAAAGAATACAAAAGGACAATAGTATTCGTATAAGCCCAATTATTCTAACGAGAATAACGAGTTAATTATAAAAACCTTCAATTTACAAACTAAACACATTATTTCAACTCTTGTCGATTGTTTTAAGTATACTTTTACAAATTCTTGGGGCGCGGTCCTAATCGTCAATAGTGTCCTAAGGGGTATTACTGACAGATTTGCTGTTTGCTGTCGATGAAGTAATAAATAATTATTTCATAAATAAATTGATTTTAATAAAAACAATTGTTGTTTCTTAATCAGTAACAGGAAAGATTGAAGGTGGCTACCAACAGCAAACTTGACTTGGAAAATCCACAAAGCACAAGTGACGGATTTATATTAAACAGGTTCTATAAACTATCAGCATTCCCATGGGAACCAACTGTGCCCATCTTCTTGCCGACTTGTTCCTTTACTCTTATGAGGCTGACTTCATACAGGAATTTTTTAAGAAGAAAGAAAAGAAGTTAGCAGTAATCTTTAACTTTACTTTCCGCTATATAGTTGATGTTCTCTCACTAAATAATTCAAAATTTGGTGACTATGTTGAAAGCATCTATCCCATAGAACTAGAAATAAAGGATACAACGTCTACAGTTAAATCTGCCTCATATCTTGACTTACATCTAGAAATAGACAATGAGGGTCGGTTGAAAACAAAACTTTACGACAAAAGAGATGATTTCAGCTTCACAATTGTGAACTTTCCATTACTATGTAGCAACATTCCAGCAGCGCCTGCATACGGAGTATATATCTCCCAATTGATAAGATATTCCCGGGTTTGTATTTCCTATCATGATTTCCATGATAAAGGGTTGCTGCTCATAAGTAAGCTATTAAACCAAATGTTGAAATCATCCCTTCGTAAATTGTACGGAAGCCATCACGAGTTGGTCAACCATTATGGAATATCCGTTTCACAGGTGATAGCGGATATTTTCCTATTGTCGTTACAACAATCCCGTTTCCTTTTCACGAATGTGCCCTTCCGAACAGCAAGCTATAAAGGGCCCCAAAATGAGTAGTGTAAAACAATTCAAGCAGGAAAACCAACGGTCTAATCTATATAAAAAAAACAAGAAACGAGAAACATTTAATAACCACATCAACAAGCGACAACCACTGAACAGTTTATTTTTCATTTTTAGTCATGGCGTCGTCAGTGTATTTTCAATTTATGAGTTTGAATGTCCCTCTGGTATCTTTTCATCCCTCTTTTCTAGGATTTCTCAATCTTCTCCAAAACACTGCACTACAGTGCATTTTGTCATATCCTAACCATAGTAGATTCATTCCGAATATTTATAGCCTTCAAAGCTTAAAAGACCTGTAAAGATTCGTGATGATAATTAGAATAAAGGTAATCTGGAACATTGGCTGATCTTCCACATTTGCATCAATGCAGCAATTTTCTAATTTTGTTTTTATCTAAAGTGAACCTTATCTAGACTCGTCCATGAGGGAACACAGTTTGAATAATCTCCTATACGCATACACTTGGTTTTAACGCTCTAAAACATGTGTATATTGGTAGCTTTACTGTCCGTCTTTTTGTACTTAAGAATCAAGATGAAGTCTGGATAGAAGCGTTTCGTTGGCTTAGATCGCATTGCAGCAACACGATCGTCTCTTATGAACCATTGTACCATATTCCGTATTGAGACATTCTTGGCCGAATCTGGATTGGTAAGGCAGATGACGCATTCGTAGATGAGACGATAACCAAGTCAACATTACCTTCCATGATCCGATGAAAGTTTAAGCGATTTCATATAGCGATTCATACAAATTAACTTATCACAATAGTCAGCAATGAGGTAAACGACAAGCGATCAATCACTGTGCAATTCACCATTAAATGAATTTAAGTCGTTAATGGTCATTTATTTTAAACATATCAGACAAATAAATTAGTCAGTTACGTTAAGTCTTTCATCAATTTTCAGACTATACCACAGCGGTTAGTTATTTTTTTTAGACATTTCTCTTGCAGTTAACTCAGTACATTTCAGTAGCATTTCATGCATTCAGAATAAAGTTAATGTGATCAGGTAAATAAGAACTCCTGAACTATCTGAACATATATTGAACAGATCTCAACTGACTGCAAGCAAATTATCTAAACAGTACGAATTTATTGCTCTACAAATTGACTGAAAGACTGAAAATAAGGGAATTTCCGATATGACGTTTCCTTGGAGTTCGGTATTTTAGTTATTTTACTTTTTGAAGAGCTATTCAGATCAAAATTGGTTTACTAGTTAAACATAAAAGCGGATCTTTGACCTTACGTAATTCAAAATTAAATGTGGTTACCCCATTTAATTTATCGTGGTGATATTATTTGTCCAATTCATGTTTATATGTTATGTCATTAATCATTGCGTAAACAAACACGGATCTTATTGTAGAAAACACCTTTCATGAATATTTAACACAAAGGCGTTAACATTTTTTTATCTGTCAATATAAATTTAAGACGATCTCTGGTAGTTTTTTGTCTTACCATACGCATAATAATGAGGCCAATTTGGATATTAATCTTTTGTGTTATTAGTAGCGTCAATTGTAAAGGTAAGTCGGATAGTTTTATACTGGGTAGTAATATTTCAGAATAATTCAATTTACAACTACTCTAAATATCAGCTCAACAATGTTAAATCTGCAAATATGCGGAAAATTTGGGGAAGCAAAATAATTTTTGTTCTTTCCTCGCCGGAATTCGAACTTATGCTATTGGGATATCGAGACAACACCGCATGTACTGTGTCCATCGCTCTAGACCACTACGCCACCTAGACTGATTTTCAGCTTTCGGTGGACTAGTGTTACCTTTCCTCATCAGTAGAATCTAGAGTTGTAACACAGTACATGATGTATTAAGCATGAAGATGTAATTGATTGCAGATTAGCCAAATATCTATAGTAAAGGATTGTAAGATACAGTCACAGAAATATATAATTATAAAGACACATTATCTAATTTTGATTAAGTTCTTCATTAGAAATGCTGCATTATCATGATGGTTACTTTTGTATGTTAAAGAAACAGAAGCCAATTAGAATCTGAGTTGATAAAACTTCGGATGCTTTTTTTCAAATGATATTCTGTCATTCTCATCAAATGAAATCTATTATTGAAATCAAATATCTTAAAGGAGTAATAACGTCCAGAAGATGAAAATGAATAACTTCATGTTTATAATTTTCAGTTTGTGAAAAAGGGTCACCAAAAGGTCAGTGTGGACTAGGACCGGGTGGTACGCAATGCCAATGGGGATATTATTGTAGGAATTCAGTTTGCTGCCCGATTCGTAAGTAGTCAAATGAACATTAGACGATCCCAAACATTGTTTAAGGGGATAGACATTGGGTACGATGGATAACTCCTATCTATTTTAAGTCGCTTGTGCATGTTTGATACTCTTTATTTTGATATTGATTAAGAATCTCTGTTGGACATATTGTTTGCATTTAACATGTTTAATAAGTAGGATACATATCATTTAACCAGCATCAGTAAGAATTGGACAGCTAACCCTCCAAGATTATTCATTAGTCAAAGAAGAGGTGCTTCATACCAAACGTCAAAAAATACAAAGCTAATAATTTATTACGTTAAAGAGGTGTTTCATTTACAAACTCATCACCAATGACGCAGAAATATAACAATTAGAATTCTACACAAATCTAATTGCAGACTGAAAACCGAAATTTCATCAGAGGTTGTGCAAACTCAGACTAGTCCCTCTATACCAGGGAGTACCAACTCAGGTCTAGGCTCTCTATACCAGGGAATACAAACTCAAGCCTATGCCCTCTATACCAGGGAGTACCAACTCAGGCATAGGCCCTCGATACCAGGGAGTACCAACGAAGTATATGATCTAAGTATTTCATCTTTTAAACAGTTATTTTTTTATTCTCAATTCGACAATAACATTTCACCAGGTACTTCGAAAAGCAATATAGCTGATATACCTTGGACAATTATCAGAAACAAGCAATGATAAGAATATAGGTATATGTAATTGCATAATGGCAATACAATATGTTAACAAAAAACGAGGTGGTATATTGATTTTAATCCTTTAAAGTATTTGCTGTCTGTAAACATCATCGTTTGCTAAAGATATCATTCGTGTGGATTCACTGCGGATATCGATATGTAACGATCGTGTTATAACAGTTTGATATCGTCCCTGAATCCGATTTTAACACAATATGATCAGAAGTGTGTAACATTAATTAAAAAAAAAAGATACGTTAGTTATTTTACGGATTTTATGGTTTCATTTTGTTTCAACCGCAAGGGATAAGGTAAGGTTTCTGTCTTTATAATCGACATGACTATCATGTTTCAATATTTTCAAATACAAGTATGCATGTACCAACATATGGATGTAACTATGAAAACAAATGTTTTCAAATAATCATGTATTAGTGAAAAAATATTTTAATATATTTATATATATTTGTTAAACACTGCAAATAAACAAGCATTTCTCTTTCAGTATATACACACACGAATAAGACGAAATATAAGCCGTATTAAAATGTATCTATCCAGTAACAAAGTATAAAAATGTTGTCGATTTAGTAAGCTTTTGTTGTTGATTTTAATGGTTGACTAGTTTTGTATTTGACATCCTGATAGCTTGCAAATATTGCAATCCCCACCCTTCTCGTACCTGTGGAATGGTTGTCGGATCAAACAATTGTCTGTATGGTTATCATTGTATTGGAGGTCCTGCTGATGAATATTTTGCCTGTTGTCCAAATGGTAATTATATCAGTTACACTTTTGTTTACTTACAGCTTTATCATGTTTCGGTTTCCAAAGTAAATACATTTTGTTTTGTCTTACACGCATAATAATGTGACCAATTTGGATATTAATCGTTTGTGTTATTAGTAGTGTCCATTGTAAAGGTAAGTCGGATAGTTTTATACTGGGTCAGAATAATTCAGTTTATATATTAAGACACTTTTTCTAATTTTGATTAAGTTCTTAGTTAGAAATGCTGCGTTATCATCATGATTAAATACATATCAATAATATAAAATAGTTTAAACATTTATGTACATGAAAGACAATAATTTCTGTATGTAATAAATGAGCGAAGATGCAACAGTTTTATCCAAAAATTGTTTCACAATCATTTAATTTTGATATGTTTAAATTCAAATTACGTTGGATCAAACGTTTTACAAAAAAAACCCATTATATTCTCTAATCAGAAAGGAAAAGTATATACTTTTACATTAGAATGAACAATTTGTCATGTCTCCTTTTGAAACGATAAAACCAACATTACATCTATGTTGAAATTAGGCTCCAACTTTCCTCTTTCTATTTTTTCACTTTTTTTTTATTTTATAACGTACTTTATGCTATGTTTTCCTCTCTTTGATACATACCATATATGTTACATTTTGTAAATATAGAGGTTTAAAAAATCACGCTTCTGTTGTGAAGATACTTAAAATTCAAGAATATTTTGTTTCGTTTACCTTCTGGTTCTCATAAATGATCTCTTTTTTTCTTATAATAGAGACTCAACTTTGAAACCTAATAAGCTCAAATGCGGCTGGATAGCGGTTTAATTGAATACTTAAAACTACTCAAAGTACAGGAAGGGGTAGTTCATAATTTTAGTCAAAGTTAAAGATCGAGGCATACACATGTTGAAAATATCCGTCACAGCCATAACTTTTGACCTCTGCAAAAACCAAATGCATGTGAACTTCCCATTCCAAGATATAATTGTGTACGAAACTTTTATTATTAGCATGTAATATAGTTTAACGCTTTTCCCTTATATGTAGACATATTCGTGTGTACATTTTTTTATAAAAATGTTTTATAATACGCTGAACATCAAATTGTACTATTAAAATTATTTTGAATTAATTGATATAAACTTATAACAGTTCACGTAATTTTATTTTCACAGCTGCCTAACCCAACTCAATAATCAGCTACATTGGTATGTCTAAAGTACATCGTGATGTTGGAGAAAAGAAATGTTATTATAGATGTAAAGATCTTATTAACTGACTGTTTTATCGACAACAATGTATTATATCAACCATTACATTGCTTAAAAAACTAGATTTTCAATTAGACGAAAGGATGTGTCAGTCCTGCTTGACGTATCAAAGTCCAGACGTTATACCTCAGTGCATATATTGTAAAGAGAACGAAATATAGCCATTTACATGACTTCTGGTTTTACATGTTTTATTTGAGGCTTGCAATGAAGTGACATTACTCGACATAACCAATCTATTTGAACGTATGTGGGCAATTTGCATTGAAGCATGACGGAGGGGATCATAGATTGCGTGATTCTTTTGCTCGTTGAATACACATACTTTGTTGGAATAAATGTTAATTTAAACCCAATCTATTTTAAATCTTAACATATTTTGTTATTAAATTCTGTGCGATTTTATTGACAAGAATATAGAGGAAATAGTTAATCTAGTTACAGGTAATCAAATACGCCAATCATTAATTATGTCCATATATTCTTGTTTCAAATATGCATAACCCTGTCGCATTTATGCGTCTGTCCCAAGTCAGGAGCCTCTGTCCTTTGTTAGTTTTGTATATTTTTTTTAATTTTAGCTCACTTATATGTTTCGGAGTTAAGTGTGTCATCCTTTTTTGCTGAAGTAAAACATTTTTTTTTTTTGGGGGGGGGGGGGGCAGATTTTCTTGCTGTATTTAAGACCCATTGGTGTCCTTGGGCTGTTTTTTGCTCTTTGGTCGGGTTGTTTTCTTCCCGTTACCATTCTCAATTTTATGCATGTGTATCTATACTATAAAATAACGAGGTCCAATGTGTTAGCCGGCATGACGTATAAACGACGAATCAAAGAATTTAACTGTATATATAACTAATATAGGACAATGGTGTAGTTTAATATTTACACTATTCCATGCCCTTTTGTTTTCCACATAATTAGTACTACCAATGATTAAGAAATTTCGAGGCGAATCCGACACCGGTAATAATAATAGATGTCACATGTAGTTTCCTGTTAATTTTTGTTAATCCCTCCTCTATCAGGAGAACCTTGAATTCTTCCAGTAGTTGTTTTATACCTATGTAACACGTCTATTTTCTTCCACCTAAATACCACTACTAATTTTGGTTAATTACATTGAAGTTAAAAAATAAACAGGACAGGACGGGATCAAGCAGACAGATTTCAAAAGCAGAGAAAACTGTGCACTTTACAATCAGCATGAATTTATCAGATGCTAATACGAATACTAATAATGCAAGCTAAAAATGAGACATACCGTATATCGGGTTTTTTTCGCGTCGGCTTTTTTTTCGCGATTTCATGACAAAATGGGCAGGTTAAATTTTCACTGTGTATAATTTTCGCTGAATGGGAAACTTCACGCGAAATATAACTGTATAGCATTGTTAAGATGTAAATTACAAAAGAATGATTGACCAAAAAAAATTTAAATCACAAAAATACTGAACTCCGAGGAAAATTCAAAACGGAAAGTCCCTAATCAAATGGCAAAATCAAAAGCACAAACACATCAAACGAATGGACAACAACTGTCATACTCCTGACTTGGTACAGGCATTTTCTTATGTAGAAAATGGTGGATTGAACCTGGTTTTATAGCGCTAAACCTCTCACTTGTATGACAGTCGCATCACATTTTATTATATTGACAACGATGCGTGAATAAAACAAACAGACATAATAGGTAAAAATGTCAAAATAGGGGTACAGCAGTCAACACCGTGTCACAATCTTAGGTAGTCGATCACAAATAATTAAGAGTTGTACAAACGAAAATACACAATTTATAGAACTTCAAAAGAACGTAAATTATGCACATTTGGGCATGTTAGAAATAGAAGGCTTTAATCAATACAGATATACAAGTATCCGTGTAAAAGTGATTTATTTTTATTCTATTTTTACATTAAACTATTAAATGCATATTGTTTGGGTTATGACACCTATCAATACAATAGCTCGTCAATAATTAACATCTGATTGCTGTGTTTTCAAAAGGTGTGACACGTCTGTTTAGCCAATTTAATTATTATCAAAACAGAGATTTGATTAAGTATGCTCATTCTTGTGATCTATTGAACAATACAAACACTCCATAATTAGCAGTATAATGTTTAAACTTTCAAATTTTGATTAACTAGGAATAAGCAGGGAAATTTACGCGGGGTCAAATTTTCGCGTTTCTTTACCTACCGCGAACAAAGCAAAAATTAAACACACGATATATGGTATGTACTTTATGATGAAGACATAGGTCTGGAGCTGGCATGTCAGTAACTGCTAGTAGTCCTTTGTTAATTAATGTATCATTGTCATTTTGCTTAGTTTCTTTTGGTACCTATTCTGACATCGAACTCGGACTTCTTTTAAACTGAGTTTTACTGTGCGTATTGCTGTGTGTTTCTTTATTCTACATTGGCTAGAGGTATAGGGTAGGGTTGAGATCTCACAAAACATGTTTAACCCCGCCGCATTTTTGCGCCTGTCCCAAGTCAGGAGCCTCTGGCCTTTGTTAGTCTTGTATGTTTTTTTAATTTTAGTTCATTTATATGTTTTGGAGTTAAGTATGACGTCCATTTTCACTGAACTAGTACACATTTTTATTTAGGGGCCAGCTGAGGATCACCTCCGGGTGTGGGATTTTCTCGCTGCGTTGAAGACCTATTGTTGGTCGGCTGTTATTTGCTCTTTGGTCGGGTTGTTGTCTCTTTGACATATTCCCCATTTCCATTCTCAATTTTATTTTTATTTAATTCAGTCACGGATCGGATATTTGCTGGTGTGTTCTAGTCTATTATATTCCTAAAGCCTCGTTGGCCTAGGGGTATTGTGGTAGCGTCCTCAGTTCGACCGAAGAGTATCTTGAATTTTATTTCTAGTAAGGCATACAATTAGAGTCTGGTCAGTCGACGCCTCGACATTATTAAAAGACTGCAATGAAATAGAGAGTGGATAATGGAAAATCAGAATAGCAAAATAGTTTTCAGCATTTACAAATGCAAAAAATCGAATTTTATGCATGTTTGATTAATTTATTGTTGTTGCCTGACATCAAGTGACAATAACTACATGCATATTCAGGACAAGAAAATATATATATATATATATATATAAATGGGTCGACGAGGGACAGCATGAATTTCAGTTGCAACTGGAAAAGAAAAGCATGTTAGACAGGGACAGCCAATTGTCTACAGCTAATTATTGCACTTTTCCAACATCAGATTGTACATCCCAATTCCGTCACGTTATATATTTTCTCTGTATCTTTCTTTTTTTAATGGTCAAACATTTGCTTAGGAAGTTGCCTCATTACCTCAATGGATGCTACACCACTGCTCGAACACGGGAGGTCATGGGTTCGATCATCTGTCAATTCAAATCAAAGATTGAATGCCTCTCTGATAAGCACGCTGTATATAGGAGGAAGAGCAAATATTGGTCGGTCCAGACTCAGAATAATGTGTCCTGTTAGAGTGATATGTCTTCCTGTGGACTGTTACCTTGTGAACTAGGACGTTACGAAATTTGGATCAGCGTGTCAGTCTAGAACAACGCCTGGTTCCTATTCATCTTCTCGCCCTGAATATGTACATTAAAAATACATACGCAATAAAGATATTAGAAAAACAGTTAAAGTGCGGGATTTTCTCGCTGTGTTGAAAACCCATTGGTGGCATTTGGCTGTTTTCTGCTCTTTGTTGGATTGTTGTCTATTTGACACAATCTCCATTTCCATTCTTAATTTAAAAACCATTTAACGGCACTTACATCTTTAAAGCGTAAAAAGACAATTTCGGCCATGGTTGATTATTTGTAGATAGATATAAGAAGATGTGGTATGAGTGCCAATGAGACAACTCTCCATCCAAGTCACCATTTGTAAAAGTAAACCATTATAGGTCAAAGAGACCTTTTGCTGTCATTGCTACTTACAGATTCTTGCTACCTACTTTTCTGTCTGCATGAAACACTAACAATGAATACACATAATCATTCATGAGCAAATTCTGCTATAAGGGTTGGATGACAATTTTGGCCATAATACACTTTTTGATAGCGGTTTTCTATTTACTGTTTTTCTCTATCAACCTATTTGTTATTGTATAAGCACACACATGAAAACGGGTAAAAATCACCCTTCAAGTGCAAAAACAACTATAACGATTTGTACCATCTAACTTTCTTTTATATCCTATTTTGCAGTTTTTTTGTCACATACAGTTAACTGTTAACGGGAAAGGATTTTCAATGGAGCATGTGAATAGTTGCAATTTGGCGTGAAATAGATAATATGTTAGATCTTCTTGGCATTCTAAACATTTCTGTTCTAGAAATTTTCCCTATGTATGTTAAACGGTTTTGGAAAGTAAACCTCTTCTTTAAAATCCCATTGCTTTCTATGTTGCATGCTGCAATTTCAAGAATTCAAAGCTGTTTTGTCTTAGTTTGAATATAGTAATTTCATCTCAAAGCTATACCTTATCCTGGCTTGTACTGAAGAATTCATCATATCCTTCATTTATGATTAGAACGCACTGGGTCACGGGTGGTTGGTAGGACAAAAACCGGTACTTCTGATCTGAGTAAAAGGACAAATATTCCGTTCTGGTTTTATTTCATATAAGTTTGTATTATTTAAAGGAAACTGTCAACAATGATTCTACAGTGATCCAAAGTCTTTAAGCTTAATTTAATACCACAATTACTAAAATACGTTACATACTGACCTTCCAACTGTTGGACTAAAGCGTTACTGGTGAGTTTTATGCAGACGATACGTGCGTCTGGCATACACAACTATAAGCCTCTTATATTTTATGAATTTGTACAGCTATGCGTAGTACCTATTTTGTTTTGAAAGATGTTCTACTTTCCATCATTGGAAATAGTTTAAAAAGTAAATATTCTAAGTATAAATGAAATATAATTTGATTTCTAGTGGCCCAGTACTTTCAGAGGATAATAATTCTTTAAAAATAAACGACTGGAGGACAATACCTGGTGACAAACAATGACGACGAAGGCTTAACAATACAGACAAACGACAAATATAGTTCACAATACCAGCTAAAACGTACAGTTGCAATACAAATGCTTTAATTTTTAAAATGTGTATTAAGAAGAATGATTAGAACTACCACGTTATGTCCTATTTTGTTAAATACTCAACCCACTTGTGACATTTTTATTCAAAAAGCGAGGTGCATTTTATACTAATAACATTTTTTGCCAGTATTGCCATATTCTTGTCTTTAATATCAACAATTAGTTTCACTTTGAATCGCCTAATTGGTTTACGGAATTGAATCAGGATAAATTATTGATTTGTAAATCGATTAAT